AAAAAAAAAAAAAAAAAAAAAGTCAATAATAAAACTTTTCTTAGAATTCTAAGCAAAGAATGAACAACCTTGGAAGATGATTTTTTTTTAACAAGTCCAGAAAATATGGAATGGAGCCTTTAGCAATATATTTTCCAAAGATTTTTCCACTTGCATATTAATAACATGCCAGTTTTATCAATTGGTGCTCATATTCTGAAACCATAGATGTTTGGAGTCCTCTTTTCATTTATTTTCATATGAAAGTAGAACATTGCTAGAGAAGATATGCTGCTTCAATTATTACCTACCTTGCATCCTGCATGTGTCCGAGTCTTCATTAATGGAGTTGTGGTACACAACTCAATGGCTTCTGGCTCATGGAAGATTACAGTGGGAAGAGGTTCCTTCCGAAGAGTTAAGACATTTAGCTTAGTCTTCAGCATGGTCTGAAAATGCTAAATGAAATAAAAACAAAGATAGTATGGTTGTTGGGGTTTGTTTGTTTTTTCTGTTTTGTAGAATTTATGTGCTTGCATAAAACCAAAAAACATGAAGGTCAATATTTCTACCTGACTTGTTCTAATGATCTGTGCAGTGACATGGAAACATTGCTGGAAGGAATGAAAATTGCTTAAGTTAATGTAAACAAGCAAGATAGGAAGATAATGCCATCTATGTTTTCTCTTTTTCCTTTTCTTAAAAATTACAAATGATACATATGAAAGAAAGAAAAGAATGTCAACACTGTTCTCTGATAATCCCCAGCTCAATTTCTCAAAATCTTTGTAAAAAGCAAACTTTGCTGAATTGCAACAGAATCCCTAAAGTAAATATCTGTGTAATACTCCTTTTGATTAAAACAAAGCCTGCATTTTAGCTCATTCATCTGAACTAACATTTTGTGCCTTAATATTCAACATATCCTTTACTACTAAACTACACATGATGTCTTCAAATGCATGCACAATAAGATGATGTAAGTGAAAATCCATAGATATTAAGGGAAATCATATCTGGAAAATATATCCCATATTTTTCAGAAATGCCTACATGTCTTCTCTTCTTCCATCACATTAGCTCCTTTCTAACTGCTACCAAATTCTGATATAGGAATAACATAAATTCAGAATGTTGAAATTCCAAAGCTGGGAATTTGACAGACTAAAGAGAAGAAATCTGCTTACTTGGGGTAATACATTTTCTCAGACCTCATTCCTAGTGCCAGGCCCTATCACAGTTCAAAAAGATGTAGGGAAGGAACTGCACTACAGGTAGTCATCACTTAATGACCACTCGTTCAGCAACCAAGTTCTGGTCATCCCAGCACCCCTGTGGTCATGTGATCATGATCGGAGTGGTTGGCAACCAGCTTGCACTTATGATGGTTGCAGTGTACCACTGTCATATGATTGTTATTTGCAACCTTCCCTGCCAGCTTCCCACAAGCAAAGTCAATGGGGAAGCCAGCGGGGAAGGTCACAAGTTGCTCGGCTAGTCTCCCACGCCTGGCAGCAGCCACCCCAAGCCTCATGATGCTTGCATTTTGCCATCCCCTCATGCGCCATCCCCTGCTCAGCAGCAGTCACCCCAAGCCTCGCTGTGCTCACACCACATCAGACCCTTGCGCATCCTCGTGCACCCTCCCCTGGTCCACAGCAGCCACTTACCTGCCTGCTGGCCTGCTTGTAAGCCACCTGGGACTTGCAACTTCCTGCCAGCTTCCCCACTGACTTGGTTACTGGAAGCTGGCAGGAAGTTGCAAGGAGTTTCTCAGTTAACAACCCTTGATCCTTGCTTAATGATGGCAATGGGGACTGCTGGGATAGCCTTTGCTAAGCAATGAGGTCACATGATGATTACGGCCACATAGCTTAGTGATGGAAATTCTGGTCCCAATTACCATCATTAACCAAAGACTACCTGTGGTCAACCAAACAAATAGTTGGTCAATGGTTTTGAAAAGATAGGCTTCATCTTTATGCCCTCCAGATATACTGGACTACATTTCCCATATTTAGAGAGATACCACTGATAGTGGAGAGAGAAAGAGAGAGAGAGAGACAGAAAAAGAAAGAGAGAATACTTTGGGATGTATTTCCTTCGAAATTCCAAAGTAGCTAGCATGAGCTGCTAATGATCTACTGATAGGGCTATACATACTGTCTATCTACATCCATGCCTGTAAATATAGTATTTCTGAACATCCTAAACCTCTAGCAATTTGCATGGGAAAAAGAAGCATGGTCTCTGTAACTTTTCACCACTATGGGAGCAAACAGTACAACAAAAATAGCATCCTAAGGTACATTCCTGCAAAAATTCCCACCAAGCAAAACAATATCTAAATGACAAGTGTGCATTACTGAGACCTGGATGGGTATATGGGGAAGGGGAGGAGGTTTTGCTCTCAGAGGTGTGCCCACCTGGGTTTTAGATGTTATATCAGCCAAAACACCATGGCAGGGGAGGAGGTGTATCTATGGTCATTCATAATAACATGGTGGCAATCAAAGGTTCTACCCCACAGGTATCTGGATGTGAGACCCTGTATGTTAAGTTGGGCTCTTTGGATCAGTTGAGATTGCTGCTGCTGTACACCCTCCCTGTTGCATAGCATTCTCCCAGCCTGAGCATCTTGGCCCTGTGGCCAGCTTGGTATTGGAGTTCCCCAGACTTATGGCCTTGGAGGATTGAATTTGCTTTCTCTGGTAGTGGAGTCAGAGGTAGCTCAGGAATTCATGGCAACCTTGACAGCCATGGACCTGATGCAGGGCCAACACATAACGGTGGCCATACTTTGGATCAGGTTTTTCTATTGGGGCAGTGATGGTGTGATTTGGAGTTGGAGGAGATTGTTATCATTCCCCTTTCATGGTCAGATCACTTTCTAATTGCCTTGGACTGTTTGGGCACTACTGCCCAGCATACGGAGGCAAGACCTATTTAATCAGTCAATCCCAGGCACCTGTTGGACCTGATTGGGTTTCAGAGGGAACTTGGGGTTGTTCCTATGGTTTGGTGCACAGTCTGACTGAGGCTTTGGTCACCACTTCAAATGAGAGGGTGTCAGGGGTCTTAGGCTGGATTGCATCTGGGAGGCCTCTCTTTTGTGCTCCAGACCTATAGCCAGAAGGGCTATAGCAGCAGCTACTTTCTACAATACCATTCTTCCCAAGCTAGCCTTTTTTAAAGCATTAAGATCCTGCTCCTCTCTAGAGCACAGCTGGAGATTGACAAGGAGTAATCCACATTGAACATGAGCTAGAGCCACGATTAGGGCCCACCTCATGGAAATAAGGGCAGCAAAGCCCCAGTACTTTTTTACCCTTATTGCATCCACAGAGAACCATCCAGCAGCCCTGTTTTGAGTGACTTGGTTCCTTCTTGGAATGGAGCTAGAGACTCATTTCTGATTTTTTATAGTAATTTTATTAAAGATTAAAGATTTATAGTAATTTTATTAAAGAATTTACAACAATAAAAACTAATTCAAACTAAAAAATAAAAGAAAAAGAAAAATAGAAATAAAAATAGAAATAGAAAAGAAAGAAAAAATAAGAATAAAGAAAAAGAAACATATAAAGAAGTGACTTCCCCCTTCATCACAAGTACACACAATTTTAGTAACTTATCACCTTCTCTTAAAATACAACAAATGATCTCTTCTTCCCATCTCTTATCTATAAACAAATCCATAAAACCTCATCACTTCAGCCCTGATATCAGCAAAAGTCCATTAAGGATTACCAGAGATAACAACATATCTATTTTAACCTTGATCAAATAAACCAACTATACAACAAATGATCTCTTCTTCCCATCTCTTATCTATAAACAAATCCATAAAACCTCATCACTTCAGCCCTGATATCAGCAAAAGTCCATTAAGGATTACCAGAGATAACAACATATCTATTTTAACCTTGATCAAATAAACCAACTCTATATTCTTTCCTTTTACTTCTAACAGGGTTAAACTTTAGTTCATTCAAATATTGCCATAGGATTTGATTTCTCTTCATTTCTTCCTTGTCCCATCACATACAGTTCTTCAAGACTATCGAGCCTCTTTTGTAAATCCAGTAAGAAAAAATTATCCAGGTCACTCTTTTGGTTTGTCATTTGTTCCTCCCTTTTAAATTTTAAAAGCAGCCAATTTCTTTTGTAGATCCAGTGAAACATCCTTTTCTAAATTATTCTCTTGGTCTGTCAGTTGTAAATCCACTTTCGATACCATTTCTATCTTGTCAGCTAAAATTTGTTCTACAGCTATCATTTCTTCAATAACATCTTTTGGACATAGTGTATCCAAAGAAGCAGATATCATTACTAACATCATTGATATTGTGGCTATGGTTTTCTGATTCCATTCTTCAAAAGTCTCCTTCAGTATTTTCATTGTTAGAACACTTCGCAACATTTTGCAGGTTTGTAAATCTCTTCTCTACCTAAAAA